AAAGTCTATATAAAGTCTACTTCCAGTCTTCCATTAATTCCATACAAATTCATAAAAAATTCACTAAATTCACGTAAATCATCACTTAAAAATTATCCATAAAAATCTTCATAAATCTCAATTGAATACACCTTTTAGGGTGTGTTTGTCTCTCATTATTGAGAGAAAAATATAGCAATGAATAGTATTTTTTGGAAAATGTGTGGTTGAAATTTAAAGTAACTTTATATGTTTGTGTGTAGAATATTTTATTGAGAAATGCTATTCAGAAACTAATTGCTTTTATCTATAGATTATTTGTCTGTTTTGCAATAAAGAATTAATTGCAGATATAGCCGTAAATTTTCCAAAAGTTCAAATGAGCCTTAATTAAAACAATTTTAAGAAATAAAAACTCTTTCTTCTCAGTTGGTTCGTATGGCCATTTGTGTAGGGTCTCAAGAACAGAGATTCAGACATATCCATACAGAACCCAAGGGGAAGATGATGCGTTTAATAATTATGTAAGACATAGCAGACCCATGTTTTCTGATCTTGTATCTTGCGTGCCCATTTCAGAAATAAAGTCAAATACTCTCTACACCCTTCCTGTTTTGATGAAATTGGTGGTGGAGAAGATGTACAAGAAGATTAATTATGGCAGCAGATGAAAGCTGAGGCGAGAAGAGATATTAATCAAGAACCCATATTCTATTACCATTATTTCTGTTCAATCTTGACGCATGATTCCATGGAAAGTGCTTTGACCAATCATCTTTCCATGAAGTTGAGTGATTCTAGTTTGCCCAGTGGTACACTGTACGATCTTTTTGTGGGTTTGTTCACAGGAGGATCAAGAAATCATGATTGCAGCTCAAGATGATTTGAGAGCTGTCAGAATGTGGGACCTGCTTGTATAAGTTATGTTCACTGTTTCTTGAATTAAATGGGTTTTCGGCATCAGAAATGCTGATTGTACAGCATTGTTTCACACCATTTTTCACAACCCTCTCACAAGGGTAGGGCCCACGATTATTTTAATCGCGGGCCCCACCCCTTGCATGTGTGAGAGTTGTGAAACTTGATGTTCCTGTAGCATCTCTCGGTTGGCATTGCAGGCTCATAGAGTTGCACATAAGTTATGGTCACAAGGGAGAAAAATTCTTGCCCTTTTGATTAATAAAAAGAGTATCTGAAGTTTCTGGAGTGGATATTCATCCTGGGGCCAAAATTGGAAGAGGGACTTTCCTTGATCACGCTACAGGGGTTGTAATTGGAGAAACGGTAGTTATTGGAAATGATGTGTCAATTTTGCGTAATATGACTTCAGGTGGTACTGGAAAAGTTTTTGAGGACGGACATCCAAAAATTAGTGATGAGGTTTTGATTGAGGTAGGCATTTGTGTACTGGGAAATGTTAGAATTGAATATGGAGCCCAAATTGGTGCAGGTTCTGTGGTGTTGAAACAGGTTCCTGTTAGAACTATTGCGGTAGAAAATCCCGCTAAATTGATTGGCGGGAATGATAATCCGGTTTAGCTGGATATAATTCCCAGTTTGACTATGGATGATACATCATATATACCCCCGTTGGTCTGATTATATTATTTAGGGCAATAATTTTTTCTATTTCTGTAGGACTTTGGGGTTGTTCTCGTGCTTTCAAGAGAGCCTAAATTCTCCTATTAGCATGGAGAAATTCTTGTCTTCTTGTTATGTATTGTGTGTAGTAGTTGCCTTTAGATTCTGTGTTCTATTGGAACATAATCTGTGACAAAATTGCCAAGAAGGCCATATACTAGAGAAGTAAATCATGTTGAGTTTTGCTCCAAGTACAGGGAGCAAACTCAAAGGGGCCTGCTAGGTCTCTCACACTGGCAGCACCCACGTCTTAAAAAAAATATACCATCCATGTACAGTGAGTTGCTTGGCAGTGAACCACCTCCCTCCCCTGTGATGCTACACCTATACGTGTACCATCCTTGTACAAGATTTTTTTTCAGTAACCAATTGTGTTTGCAATTAGATGTGTTTATGCCAACTGCTTACAAGTCTCCTATCTGGATTGCGTAGGGTTGCAATGTATCATTCTTGTACACACCACGTGTGTTAGTTTGGCTAATAAAAGAGTTGACGTAACAATTCATTAATAAATAACTAATAGTGTGTTTGATGAATATTATTGAGAAAAGAATATATTTTAAATAGTGATATGAAGGGAAATATGTGGTTAAAAAGTAAAGAAAAGTTATTGACGTGATAAAAAATATTATTTTATTGAAGAATGTGTGGTTCAAAATGAGTTTTGAAAGAATGTATTTTAATCAAATGTGTGTCAAACACGGGCTAAACTGTCACGTTTATCTTNGTGGTTCAAAATGAGTTTTGAAAGAATGTATTTTAATAAAATGTGTGTCAAACACGGGCTAAACTGTCCCGTTTATCTTCTTAAATTGAAACTAGATTAAAAGCCAAATACTATGAATTTTTAAAAATAATATATTCCAAACAAGGGCTAATTAAATATTTTATTACCACCTAAATACTAAATTAAAAATTACATTAACTAAAATAAAAATTAATGTCATGCTGTTTATTCAAAGTGCTTATAAAATTCCTAACGGTCTTATGTTTTCGACAAAAGGAAAGCTTCCAAAACTTGAATTCCTATTCCCCCACGGATTAACCATTAACCCCTATATATACTTACAATATAGGAACTTTATCTCATTCAGTCGTCTCTCTCTCTCTCTCTCTCTCTCTCTCTCTCTCTAATTGCGTGCCTTCTATGCTTCTTAGTTTTTACCATAAATCTTGAATATGGAGTACATCCGTTGGCGCGGAGTGATCTCACAGCAATCTATACACACAGAACCAGTTCTTGATGATCAGTACTATTCATCACAAGGGCATATTCTCGTCGAATTTCAATTTGAAATAGTGAAAAAGTGGGTAATACATTGTGATGATGGAGGACTTTTATTTGTTAGAAGTGAATCACATCAAGAAGCAGGGATGACGAGAAAAACTCGTCTGGATTATGCCGTAACGGACGAAGATTTGAAACAACTTCTGTTGGAAAAACTCGAAACTTACGACCTAAGATTTGATCAGAACTGNACTTGAATTCCTATTCCCCCACGGATTAACCATTAACCCCTATATATACTTACAATATAGGAACTTTATCTCATTCAGTCGTCTCTCTCTCTCTCTCTCTCTCTCTCTCTCTCTCTAATTGCGTGCCTTCTATGCTTCTTAGTTTTTACCATAAATCTTGAATATGGAGTACATCCGTTGGCGCGGAGTGATCTCACAGCAATCTATACACACAGAACCAGTTCTTGATGATCAGTACTATTCATCACAGGGGCATATTCTCGTCGAATTTCAATTTGAAATAGTGAAAAAGTGGGTAATACATTGTGATGATGGAGGACTTTTATTTGTTAGAAGTGAATCACATCAAGAAGCAGGGATGACGAGAAAAACTCGTCTGGATTATGCCGTAACGGACGAAGATTTGAAACAACTTCTGTTGGAAAAACTCGAAACTTACGACCTAAGATTTGATCAGAACTGTAAAGAAAAACTTGCTGATAAAGTAATTAAGCATGCAAGAAAATTAGGTAGCATGGGCCAGGAGAAATCTTCTTCATTACTTGTTAATATACGGAAGACTCTATTTTACGTGGAGCGTGAAAGTGTTTCACAGTTGGGGGAAATTAGCGATGGTGTCAAGATGGTGCCTGCTAGTATGGATGCAATCTTATCGCTGCCGAAGAAAGATATGGACTGCGATGGGGACGAGTTCGGGAGCTGTACCGTATGCCTGGAGGAGATCTCGAAAGGGGTGGAAGTCTCGACCCTTCCGTGCTCGCATATGTTTCACAGTAATTGCATTACAGAATGGCTAAAGAGAAGTCATTACTGCCCTATTTGTCGCTTTGAGATGCCTATTCCAATGAATTAGGTCTTGTTTCTTGATGAATTCCGAGGAAGGTTCATGGAATCTTGTAATCTTTTAGTGTGAAGTAGTTTTGAGATTATTCTTTTAGTATCTTTTATGTGAAAATTCTTGAAGTTTGTAATTTGTTTAATGTTTTATGTAATAGAATTATCCCTGTAATTGATTTCTCATTCTTTTTGTTCCTTAATTCCTTGGATATGCAATTTTTCATCTTTACGATTTGATTATTAGCATAGTTTCCTTAAGATTAGAGAATTATTTTAGCTATATAAATAAAGACAACATTTTTCAATTCATCAAAGTCATAATAGTATTACTATTCTATAGAAAATTTCAAATTGGTTTAACTTTATTTTTATTTCAAGAATCTCAATTCCACTTGTATGCCCATTCCGGTGTAACTTATTTTCCATATGTGACTCCAATTATCAAGTTAGTAATCTAGACATTACATTTACTGAAAGTGAATAATCAACACCTAGCCTATGTTTGGTAGGACCTAAAAAGATGATAAAAATTAAAGTCAAAATCAACAGTTAATTTAACTATAAATTTCATAGGACCTACATTTTTTATAAACTTTTAAACCACATATTTAATCAACTTTTTATATAAAAAAAAATATACTAAAAAGTTCGACTTTTAGCTACACCAAACATTGCTAAATTTATAGTGGGTTTCTGGACCTCATAATCATCATTGATTCTCTATACTACAAAATATGTAACAAATTTCACGGCTACATTAATATATATATACAGTGGCGGACCAAGGCCCAGAGGTCAGCTAGGGCGGAGGTCAATCGTTGACCATTGACCGTTGACTCAAGATCGTAGTAGTGATGTGCCCAAACAACGATTTTCAGCTTCATGATAACTACTGCAGGGCAATCTATTCATATGATTTAAGACCAGTAATGCATACAAATAGGAAAAATTTATGTGAAATCTACATTACGATAGAGAATTGTTAGAAGCTAGTAATCTAACTAATGACATTAAGTGGCTGTATGAAAAGCTTCCATTTAAGTAAGCATCTGACAATGTTGAGATTCATTTATTTACTAATGAATGTAGAAGCTGATTTTTTTTCTTGAACCCTAATGGTAAATTTGATGTTGCGTTGCAACCTCAATTCAACTTCCCTTATCCAATAGCAACAGTAAATAGCATACAGTTAACAATAGATGAATAACTTCAGCCCAGAGGAGCAACTCACAACCTCGATCCAGTGTTGAGAAGCCAATTTTTGTGCCTCAGCATCTTTGGACAAACATTTGCCCTGTTGCCCACCTGGCCACATATTTAGTAAAACATAAATCAAATAATCGGTGTCTTTTCCAACTGCAATGCTTCTGTTTCTGGCTTCAAGAAATTGAAAGGGGATATAGTATTGTGATTTAACTGCGCATAATCTATCGCTTGCCACCTAAATTTCAACAACAAAAATACAGATAAAACTTTAGAAAGCATTCTAAAATTTAGTAATTTACGCAATGTTTTAAAAACTGGACGGGCATCGAGTCGAAAAAAGGAAAGGATCAAGAGTCAAAAGGAAATTTTTATATTAATTATATCATAAAAAGTTTCAATATGTTTAAATATATAATAAACCTTTACCAATTTAATTAGCTAATGTACTTATCTTTAATTTGAAGTAATAATTTAAAATTGTTAAATTCTTTAATTGTTAATCATAACAGTTAATTAATAGAGGCAAAAATATAATAATATAAATTGAAAATGAAAGGACAAGACACCACCCACCTTTTCATTTCCATTGTACTTTACCTTCTCCAATGACTTCACACCTTCTCCAATGTAAACTTTACATTCTCTGACGTAAATGAAGAGTGAAAAGAAGAAAAGTCAAGCCACAATTTCTATGCCAAGAAGATAATATTCTAGTTCCATTTTTGAAGGTAAATTTTATCTTTACTTCTCATTACTGAAATCCCTAATTTTCCAGTTCCTCGAAGTAAGTTTTGAAGGTTGAGATTCATATCTAAACGTGATTTGGAGTTTTGGACCATTTATTGTGGATATTACGTAATCAAAGATATATGGTTGGGCCTAAGGTTTTTAAATAAAAGAGGCCCATCACTCATCAAGGGCCCAAACTAAAAATAACCCAGTTGCCATTCATCTTCCTCAGCTTCTTTCTTCCACTTCCATAATTCAGCCTCTGCAACTGCAAGACTGAACCTGACTGCCGACTACTACTGACATATCAAAAAATGGCCCAAACCATTGATAACTCACCAAAACAAAAACCAGGAGGGAAAAAAAAAACTCGAACCGTCGACTGCCTGCTCCATTCCTCCCAGCGGAGCCAGCACGAGTGGCCGCGGGGGCTGGCTAGGTGCTGGGTCCGCCCTATATATATATATATATTTATTTATTTTGCTTTAAACAAAATACTTATGTCTTTTGTCTCAAATTCCTACTAGTAGTATATTGCCCTTAGCTTTTTATTGCTATGGAAGCGATAACATGAGGTATTGCCATTTTTCCTGTTTTCCAGATATTTGTTTTGGATTTGGAGAGAGAATAACTCACCAATTCGAGAT